TCGAGTACTGTCCGTGTCTCAGTCCTGTCTGTCTCTTCTTCGCTTTCCCTTTCACTGCCGTGACCAAAGTCCAGACCTAGGACTCTAGATGCCTGAGTGAAATGGCACTTGTACCCCTTCCCCCAGCCTTCCTGCTTCCAGGTCTCCTCCACTCCAATCCACCCTGCCCACCTCCCCTAGTCTGCCGGCAAGACGTGCCCAACAACGCAGCCACTCCCTGTGGTCAGAGCCCTCCATTGTCTTCGGAAATCTTGTGAAAATATTAGAGTTAGTGAAATGAATTGGAAAAGGAAATTTTACATGTTTAACTCTTTTCCAGCTGACTCTTTGTCATTGTCTATTTTGTTTGTGGTACACACAAACACGACTCGTTTTTACAAATACAAAAGGTGAAAGAGAGCTTTCACACGTGTGTGGTCAAATCATGCCTCTTCAGTTCTTTTTTGTTGATGAAAGCGTGTGGCATTGTTCAAAACCGAGGTTTGTGTGCCCTTAGGCAAGTTCACTTCCTCTCCCTGGTCCCAGTCTCTCCCCCTGTAGGATTAAGACAGTAACAACAGCACTGGGTCCTAGGCCCTTGGAAGGAGTGAGTGCCTGTGGGAAGCAGCTGCCACCTGGTGATTCTGGCATGAGAAAATTACTGGACTAAAAAGACAGTCGTTATTAATGTCGCCTTTTTGTTTAATTTACTTATTTCTTCTATGAATGAGAGAGACAGACAGACCCCTAACAGAGTCTTGACCCTTCCTAGCTGCAGCCAGCCCTGGATCATGGGCACACACATGCCCACACACTCAGGGCGGTCCCCCGACTACGGTGGACCAGAACCTTCCCGGCGGCCAGCCTCACAGCCCACGCACCTGGCCGCTCCTCCACCGCCGGTCTCCTCGTCACTGGTCTTCGGAACACGAGCAGAGGACTGTGCGTCGATCCCTGATAAAGTTCACGGGAGTTCCATTTCCTCTTTCCAGCTGTTCTATTTTGCCTACTGATTCTAACAGCCACGGCATCTACCTGGGCGGAGACCGTGAGCGTGACAAACATCCCTTTCTTTTCTAAGTGTCTAATGAAAGGGCGAGCACGACAGTTCTGTCATGGCGTCTGGGCCTCACTTCTCGGGCTGTCACTCTGAGATTTGATGGATTCTGGGGCATTCCTTCTCTTCTCAGGCCTTGGAATTGTCTTTTTAACTTTTATTTTGTTTTGGAGAGGTTTTTGCTATAGGGCGTGTGCACTTGCCAGACAGACAGAGAGAGACAGAGAGACAGAAAGCGAGAAATCACCCCCCAGGGGGGATGGTCACGCCGCTATCCCTTCTCCTCCATTCGCCTCTCGGGATCTTGGGCATGCACGCACACGCGCCCGGCGTGAGTTTAAGCCACCGGGTCCAGGACGCGAACCGCGGTCGACTACATAGGGGTCCAGCGACATAGCCATTATGCTAACTGCTGGTTCCCTTAACTTTTCTTTTTAATTTGTTATAGTCTACTTAGCGAGAAATAAGAGGACATCTAGACATAGCCAAATTGATTGGAGTTTATTGATTAAGCCGGAGGCATACGGGAGGACTCATGTCTCTCAAAACCCCGCAGCCCCGAGTGGAAAGAGAAAGGAGCTTACGTAGGCCAAAGATGCACAAGCGTGTCCGGGACGACCTGTCGATTTACAAGGACAAAGAGCAGTGGGCTTGACAGGGTACAGAAGCAGGAAAGGGCAGGTAAGCGGGTTGATCATCCTGAAGGTGATTAGAACGGGGATGTAGGGACAATAGGAATGTTAATCACTCTATTTACTCTTAAACAAAAGGGGGAGGGGAGGTTTCCAGTCATAGGAATTGAGCAGTTCATGATGGAGGCGCTCCTCCAAGATGGAGTCACGCCTGCTCCAAATTTTCCTATAGTTTTCTTGTTTATCACTGCACAACTCCACAGCATACAAAATGAAGCTTCCCAGCGTGAATACACCGCATATCAGTCCAGTCCACGACATTCCCATACCTGTTATCATCGGCGATGGTTTTCCATTTCTGTGTTCATTGCATGTTTTGCTCTTTTTCCCCTGACTTCCTGCCGCTTCGCGCTGCCCACCCTCCTCCGCTTCGCGCTGCCCACCCTCCTCCGCTTCGCGCTGCCCACCCTCCTCCGCTTCGCGCTGCCCACCCTCCTCCCGCACCGTCTCTCGGAGTTTCCAGCTGGCTGAGTTTTCAAGTTCAGTTCTTCAGAAACCAGCGCACCTTCCACCACCAGCTCCCGCTGGTCCTCCGTGTTTCCACAACGGTGTCCTCATGAGCCCCGACTCTGACTCGTCCCTCTATCCGCTCCTCACTCTCGCACACTCGCCCACCACACTTCACTCTTACACACTCACCCACCACACCATTACTCTTACACCCCCGCCCACCACACTTCACTCTTACACACTCACCCACCACACCATTACTATTGCACACCCACCACACCATCACTTTTACACACTCACCACCACA